TGGCACTCATACCTGCAGCTTAGTCACACCCCACCAGGAAACCTGGACTTCAATGTTCCATTCAAAGGTAAAATTTAGCTGGCAAATGCTGCACTTAAATAACACAAAATGATTTTTAGTACTTGATTCCCCTTGAAGGTAACGAAAATCCCTTAAAGGCAGCTTTTCCCCCATCTTTTGGTTGTGGGTTTAAACCTGTATTCTGTGCTGAGACGAATTAGGCAGGGACTTCAGAAAGAGCAGAACCAGAGCTCAGCTTCTCTGGGCGGTGTTTCAACACACCAATGACACCCCCCTGCCCTGCCTGGGTTCTTTTTCACTGAGCAAAGAAAGGATCTTCTCCTGCTGCTGCACGTTGTGTTTGCCCCAAACCCCACGCCACTTCCAGTGACCCTCTGTCTTGCACAGTTTATTTTCATACCTGCAGAAGGGCAGTTGGTTTAGATATACAGGCACATTTAAAAAAATATTTCTCAAGTACACAATTGGCTCTAACTTTGCTTCTCACTCAAAAGCAACAGCGTATCCACCAAAATTAATGTAGTAAAACATCCAAATTATTTAGATTTTTTTCTTTAAAGCTTCTGTTGGTGTCTCAATTATCTCATTAGCCCAGTTCTGCAGAGATCCCTGATCCCCCCTGCAAGTCTCACAGGGAGGAGAGGGCAAACAGAGCTGCCACAGGAACAACAGAAAGCATTCATAACCAGGGGTTAGGATTCTGCAGAAGACTGAGTTTATCCCAAGTTTAATTTGCACTAAATTTACTATGTGCTGTCCTTTAATGTCCAATGTGAAAAATAGATTGTCAAATGAGGAAAATAATACAAGGTGTTATTTTCCAAAGCAGCTCCTTAGTAGAAACTGCTTCCATTTGATAAAAATATCACACTAAGGACAGTAATAGGGAGACTTTCTAACAAATAGTAATAAATTTTTCAATCTATTGCTCAGGAAAGCTTTCCCACAAATGCCATAGAGAAAACTGTCTCTTTCCATTCTTAAGTCCATAAAATTACTGTTTTCCTCCTCAGCCAGATCCCCATAGACACAATTAAAGAGAAACTCTACAGCAGCTTTGCCTGCCAACAGTGGTGCTATGGAAAGGCTGGGGGAGGTTCACAGGGCTCCAAGGCAGATCTTCAGTCCTCAGCAGTGCTGTTATTTCCCAACACTTGCTCCAAGAGCAAAGAGGCTTCAAAATCATTGGGGTCAAAGTGTCTGCAGCATGTGAGCCTCTCTGGCAACGCTGTTTGCTGCTTTCCTGTTGCAGTGACTTACTGCTTCCCTCTGATAACGAAGGAGTCTAGACTCTGACTAGACAGGAAGAGAACCTAGATGATACCTCTGCAGCATCCTGAAGTTGGGAAAAATCCCAGCCTTGCTCGCCCCAGCTCACAGAACCCTCCAGCACAGCTTAGGAGGGACAGATTGCCGTGAGTGAGATGTGTATTTGTTGGCATTTGCACGAGTGAACATGTGATGTGCCCAGTGTTATTTGCTACCAATCGCTATGCGAAGGAGGTAAATCTATTTACCTTCAATGTGAAGAACAGCAACACAGGTGTGGCATCCTGAGGCTTCCTCAGGAAGCTGCCTCTCAGGAACGGAACCACCACAGCAGCTGAACCCAGGAACCTTGGCAGCCCTCAGTGTCAGGATGGGCTTTGCACCGTCAGGGATTTCCTGCTGACCGGAGCACCTACCCCGGGTCAGCTCTGCAGAAAGGAAAGGAGCAGCCACGCGGGCTGGGAGCAGAGCACAGCCGCCTCCTCCACTTCCCTGAGGTAAATAAATGGTTCCACAGGCCCCAGCAGAAAATACCAGCATCAGGGAGCTGGAGTAACAACTACTCTGAGCCGTTTTATCCCTTTCTTCCTCTCCCCTTTTTTAAATAGCTGACTTGTCTTGAGCTACTACTGTCTGCAGAAAATGTTTTATATTAAGCTGCACCTGTGGTTGACATCAACTGACTTATCAAACCAATACAGAGCTCCAAAGCAAGCTCAGATTATTTCATATTCTAGGGAGCAAGCAGAGATGATGTGCTACAGTTTACAGTACTGCATTTTGTAGGAGATAGATCTACTCACTCTTAGCAAAATTTTCTTTCATCCAGTTATTCCGCTGCACCCACTCCCCAGCCAGGATTTTAATCGCAGGCTCCAAGGGCTGCCCTGCCCCACATCCTACCTGGGAGTAGCTCCTCTAATAATTTTTTTTTTAATAACTCCTCTAAAATCAGTTCTGATTTTTATATCTTTTTTTTCTTTTAAAACTGGTACATTTTGCTCTCAAAGGTTTACAGTCAGTGAGTGACAAGGAAGACACAGCCTACTCTACGTGAAAAGAGCTGCCAGGGTTCCTCACACTAAGTGAGAACATACTCACAGGAATGTTATTTTTTATTCTGTTATGATCCCACCATATATATATACAAAATTATTTCAACCAAGTAGTTCAGGTCCATATTTATTAGTAAGCCTGTGCACTGTCAATGCTCATGGTGATGCCTGAAAGAAAGAACACTAATAGAACACAGTCTCCACGTTTCAGATGCAAGAAAAGATTTTCCCAGTTAACATCAACATCCCAGACCAGCTTATAAAAACTCCACACTGGGGAGTGCAGTCCAGCACCACAGAAGGAATGACTTGAGGGTGTATCAATCTGATGCAGAAAGACCAGTGTTCATTAGAGCTCCCAGGACAGTCTCCCTTACAAGCCCAGCTTGGTCCTCCTCCAGTGTCTCCTTTTGGAGTTGTACCTAAGACAAGAGCAGGGTGAATTAGCAAAGTGCACACACACATTTGTTCAAAACATGAAAGAAGAGCAGCACATGGAAAAGGTCTATCCCAAGAAATATCCATTTGTGAGCATGTACTTGTCCATGTTAAGAACAAACGTTTTCACCACGGTGCAGGTGAAACCGCAGACAGTGTTTGTAACAAGAGTTGCTCTCAGCAGGAAAATGGCAGTGCTCCCACTGCAGGAAGCTCTGCAATTGCAGCCTGCTTGGGCACACAGCTCAGACACAGCTGATCACCAAGGTGCTCAAGTGCCACACGTCAAAAATCCATCATTTTGCCCCACGGTAAAGTATTCCAAAGTACTGCAATTTAGCTAAAACAGAACCTCGCCGCAAGTACACACCACCAATCCTGTCTAAAAAGAAACAAGTTGGGAGGAGTTACAGGAACAGAACCTGGCAATGCTGCCCAGTTTCACTACCTGAGCCAGCCACTGTTGCTGTGGCTCTCCTCACTGCTTAGGGCAAAGAGAGAGAAAGAGGAGGAAAAATTCTGTTGCCTTACAAAAGCCCAGACAAAAAAGTGGATGAGATAACAAGCTCTCTGACCAAAGTATACAACAGCTTTTAACCAGAGGGCTCAGATAGGCACCACCCTCTGCACGCCCCACGTGGACCAAGACCGTCAGGAACAAACACGCTACCAGGGTACAAAATCTGGAATAAATTACCCACAAGCGCAGTTCAGGCTTTCGCTTTACATGTGCCATCACTGAACACCTGTGGACTCTTGCAGAGCACTGGACAGAACGGCTACAGAAAGAAATGGCATGGAAACCCCACGGAAACACACCTGCACTGCCACCCCGCCTGGCCCTCACGGCCACAAAACAGCACTTTTGGAGGCATAAATGCCATCAGCTCCTCCTTCGGCCCGCACCGCCCGGGCCGCCTGAGCGCGCCCGTGCGGCCGCAGCCCCTCAAGACGCGCCAGCCGCGCTCGATACCTGATCTTATTGCCAGTTTTCATCCGGATCCATTGGGGGATGGGCCGGTTCTGCTTCTGCTTCTTGGCGAGGAAGCGCTTGATCTTAAACGTCTTGTGGGACGACTGCAAGAGAGCGCAGCGGTCAGTCCCTCACGGAGCCCCGGCACCGCCCCGCCAAGCCCGGGCGAGCCGCACCCGGGTCCCTCCCGCTCCCTCGCGGCCGCCTCGCCCCGCCACCCCCGCGGCCGGCCCGCCGGGCCCCCCGAACGCTGCAGCGGCGGTGCGCGATGCCGGGGCGCGGCGGATGGCGGCGGATTGCTCGGGGGGTCTCACCATGGCGCGGAGCGGAGCGGCCTCCCGGCGATGGCGGCGACAGAGGAGGCGGAAGGGGCGGGGCGGAGCGGCGCCGGCGGCGCTGGCACAGCGCCCCCTTGCGGCCAGGAGGACCCGCACGCAGCGAGGGAACGGCGGCTGCGGAGGAGCGAGTTTGTGCAGTTTTATTTGGGTTTAGTACAAAAAAAACAGCTATGGCTAAAATTCGCTAGCTTGGGAGGAGCTGCTACTGGCGAAGTCTCGTTCTGGGCTGTAAAACAATACTTCAAGTTACGAGGGAAGAGGAAGCAGTTCCGAGAGGGCAGGAGTTGGGAAACATTTCAGACTCTAGAGAAGGGAGGATGCTGGAAAAGAACAGGATGCCCAAACCAGCTACATTTGATTAAAAAGAAGCATTTCAATGTAGGGAGACTTTACATAAGAATTTGTCAAGACATATTCCATTCTTAAGCCAGCTTATTCATACACTCCAACTTAGTTACTTTATCCAGAGAACCACTGAAGAGGAAGGTCTCTCCCTCCCTAACACTGTCACTGCACTGCCAGATGTTCTGTTCCTTATGTGCCAAAGGGCTCCTGTCCACTTGTACCTCAACAACCCCAGCCTGTGTACCTGTCTCAGTGCTAGACTGACACAATTTAGCTTTCCCTGCCTCAGGCAGGAGCACCACACAACATAGCAACACCTGTATTACGTCTGGGCAACTCCAAGCTTGCTCTGCCTAAGTGCATCCAACACTAGCTCCCATCGCCTTACAATAGAGCTCTGGCTTTAGATCCAGGTGTCATCCCCTCCTGACCACAACTCATTTATTATCATAGTTAAGGCCATAAATCTTTCTATTTCGCAAAGATTCTCTTCCCTGTTGTAGTTAGATGCTGGGAAAATAAATTCAAATAACTGAAAATACAATGAGAACACATTTCAAATTCCGAATCTACAACTGAGGTTCTTTAACCAGAAACATCCAACAGCACAATGCCCCCTTTTCTTCCTTTGTTCCTTCTTCGCTTCGAAGGCACTTCTGGATTGCGTTGTACATGCTCTTTGGCTGCACAGACAGTCAGAACACATAAGGCTTGCATGCTAGTCACTCCTCTTCCTTCATGTGACTGGTCTCACTCTCTTGTTTCTTATCCACTCCCTGATCTGTGGGCTTTGCAGCACTGTCTTCATACTGACACAATCTGCTTCGGCTTCGGGCTCCTGGCTGGTACAGCTGCATTGCTGGGCGATCCTGAAACAAACCAGAACTGTTTAGACTCTTTCATAGCTCCTCTATCAGGGTTATTATGGCAACAGTGGTATTAGAAATGGCTCAAATTCAAACTTTTCTGGGTGTTCTAAGTTAAATTACTCCACCATGGTGGCAATGTAACTTCAAGTGTCTCAAATCAAGGTTGTCTCTGTTGTAAGGCAACATCCCTGTTCAAGCCACAAAGAACACTGCTCACAGTTCAAGTTGTTTCCTGTTGAGTTCAGCTCACCATCAGAAAAGAGGCCAATTTCAAATCTTCAAAACCCTGAGTTTCATTTGTACCTGACAATGTCTTAAGTGACACAGAAAACATGCACAGCAATGCTGCAAAAACTAATTTGCTGACGATATAAAACTAAACTCAAGACATTTCTTGAGCCTACAGGACATGCCCTATTCTGTAAGTAGAGTCTTGACACTGCTTTAGAGGAGCCTGTTCAATCACTCTTCCACTTAGAGATGCATTTTCAGGCACGTGTAGCATCAGCAGAGATACTGATGCTCTACCAACACCTTAAAGATACGGCACATGGTACAAGTCAGCAAATGGAAAGGTATCAGTGTTTTACAATTTAACCCATGGTATCTTGGCTTAATTCCTACTCAGTGACAAGAAATACCACAAATAATTTAGCAAAGTTCAGTGGATAAACAGGAAAAAAAAACTTTCAAGTAATGGCAGAGTTTGTTGCCAGAACAGGGAGAATTTTCAACAGAGAAACCACATGGTTCTTTCCTTGAAGTGCTTTTATCCTAAAAAACACAAACTGACCCCTATGAATCAACACATGAATTTAAAGAAATTCAGCACCTTGTTTCTGATACGATCTCTCTTAATTGTATCCTCTTTTTTATCATCTTTGGTTACTTTCTCAGATTTGTCCGTGCTGCTGGTAAAGTCTGTAAGATCACTTTTCTTTCCCTTTTCTCTGAGTAAGTCTCTCTCCTTTTTCACCTCTTCCTCTTTTCTTCTAAAAACCTTCTCTTTCTCATAGCGCTCTTTCTGCCTCCGACGCTCCTCTTCTTGGCGTCTCAGTTTCTCTCTCTGCGCTCTCTCATATTCTCTGTCTCTGTCAAAATCTCTATCTCGGTCCCTGTAGTCCTTTACACACTCATCTTCTGATCTGTATGAAAACAAAACTGAAAATTAAGCTCAAAAGATTCATCAAACAGAGCCGGGAGATCAATGTAATAGTGGTGCAAATGTGCAATAGGAGGACGACACACTGGCAGGTTCTAGGGAGCTCTTGGGCAGCTGTGACAACCCGAGTCATGCACGACAGCCAGAGAGGACACTGACCACTAGCACTTCCCAGCTTCCTACTTGCATAGCTGGTTGAGTCTCCTCTGGCTTTACAAAAACCTGAATTTCTGTGTCTCATCTCTATTTCTCACACAACAAAACTGAACCTCGAACGGATCACAGAGCTTTTGAGAATTACAATTTCCACTTTGACCTTTTTACAAGACCTTAGAGGGACTAGTAACTGGAGAACACCTCTCCTCTCACCATGTTTATAATCATCTCATTGCAAGGACAGTGCTCACAGCCTGCTGCAGTCACCTACACCTGGGCTTCTTTAGTGCAGTTCTCACACTGAGTTGCAAAAATATTAAAATTTGTCCACTAGTGAAGAATTTTCAGGTAATTCACAGAGCTTTCTGCAATCACAGGGATGTGCACTGCCACAGAGAACACAGCCTGTGCCTTATATCAGAAAAAGCATTTAAAAGGAATTTCAAAACATTGACAAAGCAGAGCAGCCTAAGCCTCATTATGATCAGGAAACAAGTTATAGATACATATATATTTATAGCAAGTACTAAAATACTTTTTTGCCTTCTCTTCTTTTGTCTCCCCATCAGATCGTTTGGCAGATGCACTACTCGCAATTTTTTCCTCCCTCAGAGTCTCTTTTTCCAGTTTCTTGGATTTTTCTTTTCTCTCCAAGTCTTTTTCATCTTTTTCAGGCTTCTTAAGTAGCTACAAAGAAAACAGAAGTCTCAACTAAAAAGCTCACTCTAATACATATTGTCTGGCACAACACCGAAATTGCATCAAAGGAACCACAGTCCAGTGAGAAGTGAACATTAAGGAAATATTACTGCAAATAGCAGCATTTCTAAAAGCTGGAGTGTATGAGTAAGCATTATTCACACAGCAGACTAGGATTTTTCTCCTAAACCAGGCCATTTTAGAAAGCTTAAAAATAGTCTCCATTCCATAGTGAATTCACAATCCTGTTTACCACGGCATGTACAACAGTCACATGACAAAAAGTTTAAATATTACTATGAAGCATTACAGCATGTAAACCTTTACATTGCCTACTATTGAATATTACAAAAAATTGGTAATTTACTAACACCAAACTCATGTGATTTTTCGCACAATACTCAAAGCACATTTTGAGACTGATATACAAATAATAGGGGAAAGGGAGTGTAACAGTTTATAATAAAGAACTGTTCTAGACCTTAATCTTTGGTTCTTCTTTTGATCTGTCTCTTTCTTTTTCTGGGCATCTGTCTACTTTCTTCAATTTTTCTGCTTCTTTTCTCTTCCTTCTCTCCTCCTCTTTCCATTTTCTTCTCTCTTCTTCTCTTTGTCTTTTTCTTTCCAATTCTCTCCTCCTCCTCTCCTCTCTTTTTTCTTCTCTCAGTCTCTGTGTGTGTAAAAGCAAAGAGAAATAGTGTATCTCCAAACTAGAAAACATCTCTTTAAGCCATGAAATAACTCACCTCAAAGCTGCCTCTACTATAAAAGAAAAAAAAATCCTGTCACCTCTACTGTTGTTATGAACCTGAACATGTTGCAGCAATATTTTTTTCTTACTCATAAGCCTTGATTTGTACTGTCTTAAAAAGCCCAACCACAACACTGGCTCAGCCTTTATCATTCTAATTTTCATTTAATCTGCCCCACCTCTGATTTTCTCCATTGCTAAAAGTTAAAATAACATTATGTGCTAGGAGAAAGATCATCCACAAGGACCTCAGCTGTAAGTGCACTAAAAATGGAAGCATTAAAATGGAATCTGTTTTGGCAGTGCCACAAGAGACAATTTGCTGGGACCAGAATGTACACAAAGCACCACCATTCCTACAAGGACCTACATTCTAGTACTTTAAAATACGTGAACCAGGTGTTGACAAGTGAGTTGGGTCAAAAGATCCTTCTTCAAAAGGAAGGGCAGAAACATATCAATACACATATTGCAATATCTACAACCATGCTTTAAATGAGCAAATTGTACTTGCAAACAAGAAGATTCTGGAGGTAAGTCTTACCTGTTTGTTTTTCAAGAAGTTCAATAAAGGGGTAGTCTTTTTAGCTAGAGAATATACAAAACAAATGTAAACAGTTTGCCTTATCCAATACTGCAATACAACAAAACCCTGTATGAAGTGAAGCATCCTTAAGGACTCCCCTGCCTGTCTCCTCTCACGTACAGCAATACTTTGAAACAAGAATTCCAAACCTATCTCTGAACAGTGGCAACTTTTAGGATTCTAGAAACTTCTTTAGGACACTAATATGATATCCCTGTGTACAGGGATACTCAGTTTGCATTAGGCTTTTCCCAGACTCTCTTGGTTTTAAAGATATTCCTGGAACATGCTTAAAAAGAGCAACCTGATAATTTTTTGTGGTATTTTACCCAATCCCATTATCTCTTAACTTGTGCCTGCGTGGAACATCACCACTCACAGCACTGTGCACTAAACATCACTGCATCCACTGAAATGCAGCCACTCCACAGCCTGGCCTGGCTAACAAACATCTGACCAGCAGCTGGCAACAGGAAGGAACTTTCTCACCTAAAACTTAAACCTAGAGAAGAATTTAGAGGATGGGAACAAAACAAAATATACACTGAATAATATAAGCCTAGAGGTTTAACAAATACTAAGCAGGCACACAAAAGAATTCAGTCTCCTCCAGGTTGAGAAATCACAGCTTCAAATTACAAACCACATATGTTTCTTTGTGCTCTAGGAAAATATAACTATACTACACAGATTTCCATACCTATTAGCTCTTTGTTTCTTGCCTCTATTTCCTCCAACAAAGTTTCAGGAGTGGAGGTTAATTTTTCATCATCTGCACTGTAACTTTCCAAAAACTTCTTGTATTCTGGATCTACAGGGAAGGGGAAAAGGAAGGGGAGGGGAAAAAAAGGGAAAAAGAAAAAAGAGATATATTGTAGCATGAAAAGCATTTGCATTACGCACTGCTGGAAGTCTGGGTTGGATTTACATAAGTTGGGTTGTTTGTATGCCATCTTTTCATAAGTTGGCAGCTCTCAAATGAGCTACTCCATTATGTTTGTCTGGGACAACCATTTAATAGACTTGCACCTCACAAAGCAGTGCCAATAAGCAAACATCCCACTGATGGAATTACAGTGTCACAGTAAAAACATATTCAAATTGCTGCTAAGATTTTCAATCTACTCATGCAAAACAAACTATCTTGCTGTTATACCATCTTCGATAGTTCCAGTTTTGGCATCCTTTTTCTTACTCTTCTTTTTTGCAGCTTTTTGGAAAGGTGCAAACTCAACTATGGCAGCATACTCCTGACCTGTTGAGAGGAGAGGGGAAAACACATTAAAATAGAGATGAAACAGATATAAAATAGACCATATTGTCCATATCTAAAGCAGGAAGATAAGCCTCACAAGAAACGTGCAATACCAGAAGAGATTATTTAGACAGCATAAAAAAATTCTTCCATTTTGAAAGCAATTTAATTAAAAAAACACCTTAGAGACAGCAGAATTCATAAACTTGTAACTCCCCCAAATAAAAAAGAATCTTATGGACAGAGCTTTGTCACACAGAACACCTGTCTGGATGAATTGTAAAACACATGCACTTGAATCAAAGCTCCAGGTGAGACCCTTTCACTGCCCAAGCCAACAGGAACTTTTAGTGCTGCCCAATGTAAGCACTTCTGAAAGGCAAAATTTAAAACCATGAAACCTAACATGTTTAGAAAACAGGTAAGTGGTGACTAAATACTCAAATTTTTAACCAATTAATTAAACCAAATATGTTTTCTACAGATTACTGTCTCCAGAGCAGTCACTTTCACAACTTAATCTGCAAAGAAGCAGCTGTTCCTTTTACTGAACCAAGATGACTCACTCAGTTGTAAACTGAAACAAGCAACAGCTTCAGGTAAAAACTGACCAAAAGATAAGTGACACTGTTGGAAGTGCACAGAACAGGTGAGGGGAATAGCAGAGGGTGACATCAGTAACCTCAGCTTCATTTGTTTGTACGCTGACAGCATGTACCTGCTTTCACTTTACAGACTTGATACTCAGGTATGACAGGGCAAACATTCACTTCAGTATTAGGATTTATATCAACACCACTATTGCCTTGTATACACCCATCTGGATTTTACACATCATATACACAATCCATTTAAAAACATATCTATAAAAAAAGTCAATTTAGACTAGTTTCCACAAAGCATAAGGAGTTTTCTTTGTTCTGTGAAATACTACATATCATGTATTTAAGGCACTTAACCCGAACAAGCCAGAATTGGCTGCTCACCCCCACCCCTCCAATACTCAATCAGCACACGGCACAGACAGCGGGAAAGCAGCAACACACACTGAGTGCCATTCACTCACCTTTGTGATCGACGAAAACATAGCCGTCGAAGCGATCCCTGAAGAGGACTATGTCTTCCTGGTTCTTGAAGTTGATGTAGGCTCTGGAGAACATGTGCGGGTACAGGCTGCGGAGACACAAACCGAGGGCGCTCGGCTGACGAGGCGGCGGCGCCACCGGGGCCCGGGGGACGGCAGCGGCGGCTCCCGGGAGCGCCCGGGCGGGGCCCGCGGCCGTACCTGGAGTCGTTGGCGAAGAACTCGAAGTAGTCGTGCTCGGGCAGGGGCTGCAGGTGCTCCTCCAGCTGCTCCTTCGTCAGGCTGGGCGGGAGCCGCCGAATCACCACCTGCGGCACGGCAGGACCGGCGGTCAGAGGGCGGCAGTGCCGGGGACGGGGCGGCCCCGTTCTCCCCCACCCCCGGCCCCCGCAGGCGGCCCCGTTACCCGAAGAAGGCCCCGTTACCGGGTGGGGGGGCCCGTTCCTGAAGGGGTGGTTCTTGCTACCGCGATAGGGCCTGGTGCCGGGGGCTGCCTGGGCCTGGGGTGCCTCGTTCCCGGGGGGTGTCCGTTCCCTGGGGTGCCCGTTCCCTGGGGGTGCCCATTCCCGAACGCCGCGCGGGCCCCACCTTGCTGAGCGTCTCCTTCTTGTCCTTGGGCCGCTCCAGGCGGTCGATCTCGGCCGCGCCGGCCCTGCCCTCCGTGCCGGCGGCGGGGCCCGGCCCCGCGCCCAGCACAGCCCCCGGCCCGGCGGCGGCCCCTCGCCGCTCCTTGGGCCTGGCGTTCTCCTTGTCCTCCTTCATCCCGGCCCCGCTTCGGATCCCGATCCCGGGCCAGGGCAGCGCCGCGCGCCCCCGCGCGCCCATTGGCCGCCGCCTCTCGCGAGACTACGCCTGAAACGGGCCGGGGGCGCCGCCGGACTACAACTCCCGGCGTGCACCGCGCCCGGCACCGCCAGTTCCGGCGGTGTCAGCGACCGGCACCGGGCGCGGGATTGGGATTGGGAATAGGATTGGGATCGGGATCGGGATCAGGCGGGCTGGAGCGCGGGCACGGCCTCGTTCCTTGCCGAGAGCCGGTCCCCCGCAAGCGCTGTCGCTCCGCCGCCCCTCCGGGCCCGCCGGGCTGTGAGGGGCGCGGGGCAGGCCGGGAAGGGCGCGGGGCAGGCCGGGAGTGCCCCGGGAGCGCCCCGGGAGCGGCGCAGCGGGACCGGCACCGGGACCGGGAGCGGCACCGGCAGGATGTGGTACGAGATCTTGCCCGGCATGGCCATCATGGGCGTCTGCCTCAGCATCCCCGGCTTCACCACCATGTTCATGAACCGCTTAACCAACGGCGGCAAGGTCAGCGCGGGGCGGGATCCGCGGCGCCGGGGCTCCGCTTCCCCCCGGGACCGCCCTTACCCCTCAGCCCCCTGCATCTCTCTGGGATCCCTTCCTTCCTGCCTTCCCGGGGCTCCCCTTTCCCCCATCCCTCGGGACACCCCCATACCGGCGAACCCGCCGGGGACCCTGCCCGGGGCCGTAACAGGCATCGCTGTGCCCACAGGAGAAGAGGATCGCCCGCTTCCCCTTCCAGTGGACCCTGATGGAAAGGGATCGGCGGATCTCGGGTGTCAACAAGTACTACGTGTCCAAGGCAGGTTTTTGGGGCATGGGCAGGTACCACCGGGGGGTTGAGGTGGGAGCCAGGCGCTGCTCCTCCATCCCCGGGCTCTGGGATGGGGTTCCCGCGGCCGCACTAGTCGCTCCCGGGGCTGTCGGGCTCCGTGCCCACAGCTGATCTGCCTCTGGGGCTGTGCATTTTAATTGTGTTTTAACTAGGACTTGGGTAAGTAGGTGTAGTTTGAAAACTGGCATTTTCAGCTATGCCCTGTTGCACATTAGTGGCAAGAATGATGCAGATATAGCTGTTATTTTTTCTTTTTAGGGTCTGGAGAACATAGACAAAGGTGGCAGCACTTTGAAGAATCCACGTATCTATTGAGAATGATTTAACTCCTAAATAAAGATATATGTGTGTTCAGCCCTTGTATCTGTGTTGCTGTGGTGGGGTGACCGGGGCTGGACACCAGGTGCTCACCAAAGCTGCTCTGTCACTCCCCTTCTCAGCTGGACAGGGGAGAGAAAACATAATGAAAGGCTCATGGGTGGAAATAAGGACTGGGAGAGATCACTCAGCAATTACCATCAAGGGCAAATGAGACTCAACTCGGGGAAATTAATCTATTGTCAATCAAATAAGAGCAGGATAATGAGAAATAAAACCAAATGATGAAACACCTTCCCCCCACCCCTGTCTTCTTTCTGGCTTCAACTTCACTCCTGATTTTCTCTACCTCGTGTCCCTCAAGCTGTGCAGGGTGACAGGGAATGGGGGACGTGGTGAATGTCATCACATGGTGTCTCTGCTGCTCCTTCTTCCTCGGAGGAAGACTCCTCACACTCTTCCCCTGCTCCAGCCTGGAGTCCTGCCCACGGGAGATGGTCCTCCACAAACTTCTCCACTGTGAGTCCTGCCCATAAGCTGCAGTTCTTCACAAACTGCTCAGTGTGGGTCCCTCCCACAGGGTGCAGTCCTTCAGGAACAGGCTGCTCCAGCGTGGATCCCCTGCTGGGGCACAAGACCTGCCAGCAAACCTGCTCCAGCGTGGGCTCCTCTCTCCATGGGCTCACAGGTCCTGCCAGGAGCCTGCTCCAGTGTGTGCTTCCCATGGGGTCACAACCTCCTTTGGACTTCCACCTACTCTGGCATGGGTCCTCCATGGGTTGCAGGTGGATCTCTGCTCCCCTGTGGATCTCCATGGGCTGCAGTGGAATCTCTGCTTCAGCTTCTGGAGCATCTCTTCCCCCTCCTTCTTCACTGACCTGGGTGTGTGCAGAGCTGTTCCTCCCACATATCCTCACTCCTCTCCAGCTGCAGTCTTGAAACTGCAGGTTTTTTTCCCCCTTCTTAAATCTGTTATCCCAGAGGTGCATACGAGCTGCATAAGTCGCATAAAAGCTTTGGACAGAACTGGTTTCCTCACTTTATGCACCCTGATATACACCAGGCTGTCTGTGAGAGGAGGAAGAGGAATGCCAGGAAGACTGATTCTATTTTTGCACCCACTTCTGATGTGCAGTTCCCTGCTGCTGACTGCAGCAGCCTGCATTAATAGCCAGTGTCACCTCCTGCAGCTTGGATTCTTCCCTCCCAGCATAGCACTAGTCAGCAGTCTCAACTTACAATAAAGCCAAAACCTGCCTCTGCTACATCCTAAACCTGCTATAACAATGCCTCTTACTTATCTCCTTGTTCCTGGGTAGCAGTCAGAGTGAAACGCAGATCTTGTGTCACTGCCACCAACATTGATCCCCTGTGAGACACGGGGTGTGGAATGATCACAACCAACATGGAGGGAACAAGGTGCAGAGTCACATGGATCAGACAAATTTCTGAGAAATGTCCAGGCTTGTATTAATGCTCTCTCAGCTGGACAGGAAGCATCTCTATGAGACCACAAGGACTAGGACCTACACTTTGCTCATTATTGATCTAGCAGCTGAATCCATGTAGCAGCCTTTTGTCATTCTGGAAGAGCAGCTGCTGTGAATTCAGCACACTGTGATATGCTAAAACATTTCTGGCCTTTCCCTGTTGGTCCTTTCCCTCTGAAGGGCTGGGAGAATACAGCCCTCTGTGCACCGGGCTGGGCTGAGACTCTGCCCAGCACAGCACAGAGCGGAGGCTGCTTTAGTTCCCCCATTGCCGAGACTGGCAGAAACACGACAAACAGAGAATCTGGCAGGATCCCACAGCTGTTTTCCTGTCTTCCTTTTCCGGAAGACTGCGGCTGCTGGGGAGGCGTTTCCCGGGGTCGGTGTATCCGCAGGGAATGCCGACGGGGATGCCGGGAGACGGCACCGCCTCTCCATGGTGACGCGGGGAGAACGCTCCCGTGGACGGGGAGCCGGGACTGCGGCAGGGACAGCGCCGGGGCCCGGGAGCAGCTCCTCGGGGCTGGACACCTTCCCTGGAATAAAAAAGCCCCGGGACCCCCCGGGACCCCCCGTCCGGCCGGGCAGCGCTGAGGGGGGTGAGCGGGGGCGAGGAGCCAGCGAGGGACTGGGCGCTGCTCTCCGTGTTCCTCTGATGGGTCCTGCAGCTCTATCTCACTGTGTTTCTACTTTTCTTTCTCTAAAGGTGAAGCCAATGGACAAGGAAGAGGACAAAGATCACGCACCCCCAGACAATGAGAGAAGCAGTACAGAGGACTGTCTGCCAGAGCTGAAGAAAAAGGAAAAAGGTATTGTGTTTGCTCTATTAGCGTGTGTTGTTTTGTTGTTTTGGTTTTTTGTTTTTTTTTTTCTAGGAGGATTTGTCAGCATTTTATTTGTTTTAGAAGCCAAGCGTGTTATCAAAACTATCCAGTGGACCACAGGCAACAACTTCACAGTGGAGAGAGGGCGGCAGCAGATTGAAGAGCTCATTTCTGTGAGTGACAGTTCCATCCATTTGGGAAGGTCACACCTTCTCGCTGTTAAGAAGTGTGAAAAATTTAAGGACAGCACCTCTGGTTCCTTTTTAGCACTGCCCTCAAGTCACCTCTACTGGACAGAGGGAGTCTCAGTGTGATGCCTTTATTCGACAGACATGGGACATTCACAAAAGCTGGCTTCACCACTCTGAATTTCTTGAGGAAGAAGAACTGAAGGACAGCAAGAGGTACCATTACAGAGCTTGCTGGGGCATCCCAACACGCAGAAAACCCATCCCACGAGCAACAGCAAGTGTCTACTTTGTTATAGTGATCTCCAAACTCAAACCTGACGTAAGTACTCAGAAATGCCACACACCAGTCCTTTAAGGGAAAAGAGCACAGGGATTCCTGAGGCAGTCAAAACCAGCACAACAGCCCATAGCTGGTCAGAAATCTTACATCATCCCACACGCTTAGAATTGTAACTTATGAGGCTTTACCTTTACAAGAAAATACTCATAGAGGCTTTAAACTAAAACTGTTCTAATCTGTATCAGAAATGTTGTACAAATATCCAGGTTATTTTTGAAGAAATAGATAGTAGCTCTTAGCTAAATACCATGTCTGCTCTTTGAGGGGCTGTACGTCACCTCTGCCCTGTGTCTGCTCTCTTGCAGACCTCGCCTGTGGAGGTTTTCTTCAGACTGGAGTCCAGCAGGCTGATTCGCAGGTAAATGTCATTACTCTTCTGTCACTGACACAACTCAGGAGGTTCTAGCAAGCTTTTCCATGCCAAAACCAAAGAGGGAGCTCCATGTAAGTAAGTTTGCAGTCACATCAGGGAGGTGGAAGAAGCTGTCAAAATTTTGCTTCACAAAATGAAATGAACCTGCTTATTATTAGCTTCACTCCCCCACAAGCATGGATAGCCACCCCGTGGGCATCTGCCTTCTCCAGGAAGAATATGTCCTGCTTACCCAGGTCTAGGTGTGGTCTTTATTGCAGCAGATAGGCTTGCCTGATGAATAAAGGCCAGCTCTGAGCTGGCCAAACTTGGATTCAATATTATTCTTACAATTTACCCTCTTTTTATTCCATCCTCCAGGCCAGAAGAGTGTCAGTTTAGAGAAAAGTGGCTTCAGGACATTATTGAAAATAAAATAATCCTCATAGAAAGACTTGGTTCCCAATGAGCAGCTCCAATTCACCATCACCAATGCTCTGTTGTGGAGAACCAAATAAACACCATGAAGAAAGAAAAGCTCTTCCTTAGCAGCATTTCTGCTTTGTGGATACATCAAAAGCACTGAACGTGTGCCAGATCAATGATGCCCTGACATGGTAGTTGGCTTTATATGATGGTTGCTGGCAGGTATGGGTGGGTACACCAAGATGGAACCAGGTTCCAGAGTGTAAATGCGAAGAGACAGCTGGGAGGGATTTGCTGGTCTGTGGAACTATAGGGAAAACATTATAGGACTTTAAGACTTTTATCTTCTTCACACCAATATACGAGACATCTCTGCTGCCCAACTTAGGGGAACAAAAAAAATAAAAAAAGGATTTAGGGGAACAAAAGCCCTCTCAAAAACACTTTCTTTTTCTCAAGTGTTTTTAAAAACAAGTTCAAAGGCGATATGTTTGGAAATATGCAGTTGAATCAAAGATAACCACCACATAAGCACTGCTTGAGCAAGGCCTCCAAGTACAGAGCTTAAAGCAAACCATGTAATGCTGCTGAAACAGACCAAATTAAAATACTACCGGAGTTAAAATAAGGTTTTATTCTAGAGCACTTTCATAGACATAAACATTTCAAATAAATTGAAAGACACATCCTTGTTGCCACCTGTATACATCCAGGGGTTCCAATCACTGCAGCCCACTGCTCTGATGCCTATGTATAACATAGGAGAAAAAGAAGCAAGCAACTTTGTTCTTCACCACAGATTTCAGTGAAGAGCAGACCCTCCTATTACTGTTACTTTACATCCCAATTGCAATCTGCTTGCTTTAAAGTAACTGAAGCCCATCTGTATTAAATTACAAACTCATTTACAGAATATTTACAAGTCTAGTTTGAACCACAAACCAAACTTCACTGTTTTGAGAAAAACCTAAATCTAAAAGACTTCTGAAGAAATAGTAGACAGTCCCAGATCTTAAACAAGAACTCAGGAGTTCCTTCATTTTTGCTGCTGTTAGTAGTAGCTTGTTCACTGTCTTTTCCAAGCTAAATGATTCTATGAAAAATCAAAATAAATGGAATAAAAAAAAATGACACATTGGTATTATGTAACAAAGCTCTTCCCATGGGATCCTCCTGCTTGTCTGATTCAAAGCAAGCACAGAACATCGACACCTCTAATCTTCCTGTCTGTTCCTGCCTTCCCTGCCTTGTAGCCTTTCACTTTACAGGGATTCCTTGTAGATGGTGAACAAATCACCCTAGAGAATCTGATGAAAGTAACTCTGTTTTCTTGACAGAAGTAATCCACTCCTGGGGCCCAGCCCTGTTGGGTGAAAGGCACTGCAGCACCTGCAGCATTTTTCAAATCACGACTGGAACAGGTCAGCTGCTGCGTGGTACAATCTGTGGTGCACAGCTCAAACAAAGCATTATTTCTCCTCTTTGCCCTTAGTCTTTCTGTAGACCATCTCTCGAAAGCTTGCGAGGATCTTGTTCTCTCGTTTCCTCCTCTCCTCTTGGTTGAAGGAGGCCAGGGCTCTCTTCTCGTCTGCGCTGTAGATCTGGTTCTCTTTGCGCAGACGCACGGCTTCCATGCGCCGATGCCTGTGGAGGAGAACATGGTGCATGTCATCATGGGCAGACTGCCCTGGGACAGCTCCATCAACTGGCCTGAATGTTTTCAGGGGCTTTAAATAAAGATACCTGCACTACAAAATCCAAACCTGCACACAAACCTTCACAAGAAGGAGCGTGGCAGAGCAAGGGACTGACTTCTGGGCGTGTCTGCTCTCAGGCAGTCAGCCAGAAGTCCCACCTACCCCCAGGGTGTCAGCTGCTGGCTCACCAAAATTTAAGTGAAATTCCTGGAGGACTCATAGAGCAAAAAGTGCAGCCAACCTCTCACACTTTGATTTGTCTCCTACTGGCCAGCACATCACCAGGGCTGTCCAAACACACCACCTGGCACAAGCATCTCCTCATTTGAAATAAAGATAATTAGAAGTATATTGCCTGGAAAGAACTTTTGCTCTTGAGGAGAAAGCATCCTCTAAAACCTCACCATCTGTCTACAGCAATGGGGAGTTTGGTGTAGATTATTGCAAGCATGCAGAGCACCTTCTCCTCCACACTTTCAACTAGAGCTTGGAAGCGGCCTTCCACTCAGCCAACAGAGAAAGCAGCTCTTGAAAACGTCACTGAACCACTGCCATGATCAAAACCATACCTGCTGCCACTCATGACGTAACCGGAGCTCTCAAATGACGCGATCTCTTCACTGGTTAAACCGATCTCGCCTCTCCGGGGAATACGTTTTCCTGCTTTTACATACTCTGCCATTGCTGCACCTTCACCCGGCAGGAGGGCGTGTCCATAGCTAAAAAAAAAAAAGGGAGGATTGCAGTCTCAAATACAGAGAGTCTGAGCTAAACATCCAGCTTCCCTGTTCACTACAGCTGCATTTTTAAACACTTTCTTATTCTTTCCCACATATTGGCCTGTTCTTTCCTTAT